TCCAGGGATGTGCAGGTTAAATGGTAAAAACTCCATGGCTGGGGGGGGAGGGGGGGGTGTAGTCTGATGGGATGCTCTTTGGAGGGATGGTGCAGATTTGATGGGCCAAATGGCCTCTTTCTTCTCTGTAGGGATTCTATGATTCACAGATAAATATGCTATGACTTGACCATGAGAACCCTCAAAAATATTTCTAATCAACCTGCCTATACATGTTATTACAAACATCCAGGACAGGTAGGGCACTGCCATTAAGCTGTGCTGTTGGTAATGTACCTGCTTCTGTGTATTTTGGGCTCAGAGAGAAGTGGAGTGTAACTAATAATTTAGCGCAACAGACAGCAGGGCCCTAAAGCCCACGGACAGGATTTGCCTGGTGTAGCTAACTGAGTTCAGAGCTCAGGACAGAAAAAAACCCCAAGTGCAGTACCAGCTTGGTGAAACTAACTTTCTGAGAAGTGAAGCTGAGCCTGTGAGTAACTGCTGGTGTTCAGTTGCCTGAATCCAGAAACCAGGGGAAGTTAGGTCTAGGAAAGGAACATGAGCAATCATTGAGGTAGTCCATGACAGAGTGGCTTTTGAAGTAGTTTTAATGCCAGATCTACAAACATGAAGGATTGGAACTCTTCGTAAAGGTTTAATTACATTTGATAACTTGTTGTGTGACTAACATCGAGGGTGAAGTGATAAATTCAATGATCCATCTTGACTGGACTTGCTCGTTAATGTGCCCTTTGGGGTGCTCAACCATAGTTATGCTCTATTTCTCATATCTACCTCTGTCTCATTTTGGCGACGTTTCCTGTATACTGATGGTACATTCTTAGTCATGTATATGAGCAGATTACTAGAATCACCTCAGGGCATGATCCATGGCCACCAGCTGCGTACATCCTCATCTACAGACATTGGCATCTGACATTCGCTAGCCCCTCATAATCTTTGTGGTACCTCTCCGATCCAATTGCAGGCCACTTAGAAATACACACACATGCATTGCAGGGCACAATTACAACTAGAATTGCAATACTGCTGCAAGAAGACTTAGCATGAAGGAACACATACCCAGTTTACAGAGTGGACTGACCTGCTCTTCAGGGTTGCTGATGTGTCATCTGCAATGAGTAACTCCCTTCCTATCTCCCCAGTGTCTGTCTATGATCTACAAGCAATAAGTCAGGGGTGCGATGGAATTCTCTCTGTTTAACTGAATGAGTAAATCTCTGACAACAATCAGCAAGCTCAACACCATACAGTACAAAGCAGTCCACTTGATAAGCAACCAATGATGAACAGCGGCAGCAATATGTACCACAAACAAAATGCACTTCAGCAATTCACCAATGCTCCTTTGACACTGCTTTCTAAAGCCAGGACCTCTACCACAAGTGTGGCAGATGTTTGGGATAACCACCATCTGCAAGCTCCCCTCTTAAGTCACACACCATCTTGACTTGGAATATATCACCCTTCCTTCACTGCTGCTGGGTTGAAATCCTTTACACCTTTGCCAACATCATTGTGAGTGTAACAACATCACATGGACTGTTTTGCATTTATAGCTCCTTTACGCAAACTCACCAACCTCATACACAGGACTGGTAAACCTTAATGTAGGGTGAACTTATTTGAAGACTCCAACTAATACACAGGATAGTTCAATAGACAGATCTTTTTAGGGATTCACTAACTTAACATTACTCACAGCTACAGCTGTACATCAGTCCTTACGAAGTGCATGCTGGTCACATGCCACTTTACATTCTAGTTCCTTTTCTTTGTTTATATTCTCTCAAAGTGATGTATCAACAAATTTCAGTGATTCAAGATGTCAAGTCACCACCAACAGCTCAAAGAAATTAAGGATGGGAAGCAAATGCCAGCCCCAGGGAGTGTGCCCAGCCCTCTGAAAAAATTTAAAAGACGCTGGTGAGCACGAACTGAAGATTCACATTTACTCCTATACATGGAGAAAAAAAATTGAAACTTTGTGGGAGAGATTTGTATGTTTGTATATACGTGATGTGCTTCTCTGTAAGGAAAAGTTTATTAAGTATGTAAAACATAGTAACATAGAATGAAAGTGAAGGACCAGGACTGATCGTCCAACTGAGTACCCTGTTCCCGCTTTCTCCCCATATCCTTTGATCTCTTTAGCCCTAAAATCTACGACTCAATCCTGCTTAAAAGTCCAGAATATTTTGCCCCAACAGTTTCCTGTGGCAGAGAATTCCACAGGTTCACCGCTCTCGGGGTGAAGAAATTTCTCCTCATCTCTGTCCTAAAAAGGCCTACTCCTTATCATTAGACTGTAACCCCTGGTTCTGAACTCCCTGGTCAAGAATAACCTTCCTGGATGTTCCCTGTCTACTCCTGATAGAATTGTATGAGAGCTCCCCGTCATTCTTCTAAACTCTAGTGAATATACTCATAATCCAGTCTCTCCCCCTAAGTCAGTCCCACCATCCCAGGAATCTATGTAGAAACCTTATGTCTACTCCCTCAATAGCCAGAACATCATTCCTCCAATAAGGAGACCAAAACTGCTTGCAATGTGATCTTAGCAAGGCATTCCTGCTCCTGTACTTAAATCCTCTGGCTACAAAGGCTAACATACTACTTGGCTGCTTCACCACTTGCTGCACCTGTATGCTTACTTCCAGTCACTGGTGCAAGGACAATCAAGCCTTGCTGCATCACCCCAATCCCCAATCTATTGCCATTCAGATAATATTCAGCATAAGTGATAACCTCAAATTTTTCCACATTATACTGCTTCCGCCATGTATTTTCACACTTACTTAACTTATCCAAATCACACTGATTTACATCCTCCTCACAGCACACATGAACAGCACGGTGACTCAGTGGTTAGCACTGCTGCCATGCAGAGACAGGGAACCAGGTTCGACTAGAGCCTTGGGTGACTGTGTGGAGTTTGAACGTTCTCCCTGTGTTTGCACATTTGCTGGGTGCTTCTGTTTCCTCCCACACTCCAAAGATGTGCAGGTTAGAAGAATTGGCTATGCTAAAATTGTCCATAGTGCTTCAGGGATGCGTAGGCCAGGTAGATTAGCCATGGGAAATGTGGGATTACAGGGATACGGAAGGGGTCTAGGTCTGGGTGGGATGCTCTTCGGAGGGTCACTGCTGACTCAATGGGCTGAATGGCCTGCTTACTTACTGTAGGTATTCTATGATACCCTCCCATCCACCAGCTTTATGTCATCTGCAAATTGGAGACATGACACATAGTTTCCTCATCAAAATCATGAATGTATATTGTAAATAGTTGGGGTCCAAGCACTTATCCCTGTATATCCCACTAGTCACTTGGAAAAAGACCCAATAATTCCTACACTTTGCATCTTTCTAGCTGCCAGCCAGTTCTCAGTCAATTTCTGCACATGAACTCCAATCCCACTGCCTAGATTCCAGTTCAATTCTTCACCACCTGGCTTTCTGAAATAGGAACACCGCCAATGTCAGCCATGCTTCTCCAGTGACAAGCTAAGCTGTAACAGAAGCAGCAGACACACCTTCCATTCATCACACAGGACAAGGTGTGTGCAAGTTATAACAAGCCATGAGCATTACGCACGAATAGTGCACTACACAGGGAATGCACACCATCCACAAATAGGCTGGGCACTGTGCATTATACAAGGTGGGGGAGGTATTATCGCTGGACTGCTAATCCAGAGACCTAGACAACATTCCAGGGACCCGGTTTTGAATCCTGCCACGGTAGATAGTGGAATTTGAATTCAATAAATATGTGGAATTAAGAATCTAATGATGACCGTGAATCCATTGCCAATTTTTGGAAAAACCCATCTGGTTCACTAATGTCCTTTAGGGAAGAAAACTGCCATCCTTACCTGATCTGGCCTACATATGACTCCAGACCCACAGCAATGTGGTTGACTCTTAACTGCCATCTAGGCAATTAGGGATGGCAATAAATGCTGCCTAGTCAGCGATGCCCTCATCCCGTGAATGAATAAAGGAAAAAAAAGGTCCATTGCACATACAGGACAGAGACCATTTATCATTTTGGGTCCATAAATTGTACAGATACAATGTACATGGGGTTCTGCTATAACACGGTAGTTGCATTATTGTGCAACATCGCATCATAGAAAATTGCACTATAGAAATAACAGAGCTTATGGGAAAAGCAGGGTTGGTGCAGACCACTCAAAAAAAACACTCAAAATTGCTCTAAAATCACTCAAAAGCCTAACACAAAGGAAAGCACAGTTTAAATAAATGTTTAATTCATATCTAATAATGAAATAAAAGTAAATTTAACACCTTATCTTGAAAAACTGTCAAGATGACTTGATTGGGGAGGAGGTTTTGAGGTTGCTGTATTAATGCAGGGGCTGAGGATCATCATCATCATCATCATCATAATCATCGCCTTCAGGCTGCAGGGTTAGGATGAAAAGTAGTTCATCCAGAAGTGGATGGCTGTGGTTCATTGTCTTCTCTCTGTTCCTTGGGGGTTGGCTTAAAAAAGACATCAGTTTTTGCTGCTTTGCCCTTTTTCTTCTTTCATGAAGAAGCTGTTCATAGGGTGCCAAATAAGCTCTCTTTCTCTCTCCAAGTTTCTCACCCAGTTCACCACTCTCCCAATTTCTCGTGCTCCCTTTTAGTCTGTTTTCTTCTCTCTTCCCTCGTGCTCTCATTCTCTCGTTGCTTCAATAACATTTTCAGTGGACCCTCCTGAACTCTGTTCCCCTTCTCCCACCAAGGACCAATGGCCTAGAGTGCTCTTCATATGAAAGGAGTAACTCCAAACTTGACTGAAATGTTGTTAGATGCAAATTAAATTTTGAGCTCCACCCATCCTGTTGTTAATTTTATTTTCCAATAGGTGGAAGCTGCAGGGTAAGTTTTCAAGTCAATTCTTGTCATTGGTGTGTTGACTAGCCCATGAGTTTTGAACCTTAAGGAATAAATTGTCTCCTTAGTAACACATCACATGCTATCTGTAAGGAGACAAGTAGTGATTGGATAATTAGAGGCTTGCTCAGAGGCTACAACTTCATTAATTAAACTCGTTCACAGTTATCACATGCTAAATTGCAAGATCATTATGAGGTAGGTTTAAGTCTCTAAAACAAAGTTGTTGAATTGCTTGCAGGTGAAAATTGAGCTTTTGCTCAAAGCATTTCCTCTGCCCGATATGGTGGAGACTAAAGAATCCTCTGTAATGAGGCTGTTGATATGTTTTCAAGGTACAGTGTTCAAGTAACAAAACTGAACTAAAGCACAGAACGTTCGGAATACTCAGCAGGTCAGATAGCGTCTGTGGAGAGAGACAGAGTTAACATTTCAGGTCAATATGCTTAGGACCAGAAATATTCCACTATTTTTCTCTCCCTTTCTGTGTATTAGCCTGACCTGCTGAAAATTTCCAGCATTATCTGTTTATATTTTTATGAGCTTCAACTGCTCCAAAAGAGCCACTACTCCACGACTGTAAGCAGAGTTGCAGGACTGTAGGCAAAAAGCAAGGGATTGGAACTTTCATGGGAGCAATGGGCCAAATACCCACCTTGTAAGCTTTAAAATTCTACAATCATTGTATCATTTGCAAAAGTAACAGCAAAGAACTTATGAGACAACAAGGTGCAGGGCTGGATGAACACAGCAGGCCAAGCAGCATCATAGGAGCAGAGAGGCTGACGTTTCGGGCCTAGACCCTTCATCAGAAAAGGGGGAGGGGAAGGGGGTTTTGAAATAAATAGGGAGAGAGTGGGAGGCGGATAGAAGAGGGATAGAGGAGAGGATAGGTGGAGAGGAAACAAACAGGTCGAAGAGGCGGGGATGGGGCCAGGAAAGGTGAGTGTAGGTAGGGAGTTGGGAAGGGGATAGGTCAGTCCAGGGAGGACGGACAGGTCAAGGGGGCGGGATGAGGTTGGTCGGTAGGAGATGGAGGTGCGGCTTGGGGTGGGAGGAGGGGATAGGTGGGAGGAAGAACAGGTTAGGGAGGCAGGGACGAGTTGGACTGGTTTTGGGATGCGGTGGGGGGAGGGGAGATTTTGAAACTTGTGAAATCCACATTGATACCATTGGGCTGCAGGGTTCCCAAGCGGAATATGAGTTGCTGTTCCTGCAACCTTCGGGTGGCATCGTTGTGGCACTGCAGGAGGCCCAGGATGGACATGTCGTCTGAGGAATGGGAGGGGGAGTTGAAATGGTTCGCGACTGGGAGGTGCAGTTGTTTGTTGCGAACCGAGCGTAGGTGTTCTGCAAAGCGGTCCCCGAGTCTCCGCTTGGTTTCCCCGATGTAGAGGAAGCCACACCGGGTACAGCGGATGCAGTATACCACATTGGCAGATGTGCAGGTGAACATCTGCTTGATGTGGAAAGTCTTCTTGGGGCCTGGGATGGGGGTGAGGGAGGAGGTATGGGGGCAGGTGTAGCACTTCCTGCGGTTGCAGGGAAAAGTGCCGGGTGTGGTGGAGCTGGAGGGGAGTGTGGAGCGGACAAGGGAGTCACGGAGAGAGTTGTCCCTCCGGAAAGCAGATAAAGGTGGGGAGGGAAAGATGTCTTTGGTGGTGGGGTCGGATTGCAGATGGCGGAAGTGTCGGAGGATGATGCGTTGGATCCGGAGGTTGGTGGGGTGGTACGTGAGGACGAGGGGGATTCTTTTTTGGTTTTTATTGCGTGGACGGGGTGTGAGGGATGAGGTGCGGGAGATGTGGGAGACACGGTTGAGGGCGTTCTCGACCACCGAGGAGGGGAAGTTACGGTCCTTGAAAAACGAGGACAACTGAGATGTACGGGAGTGGAATGCCTCATCCTGGGAGCAGATGCGGCGGAGGCGAAGGAATTGGGAATAGGGGATAGCATTTTTGCAGGAAGGTGGGTGGGAGGAGGAGTATTCTAGGTAGCTGTGGGAGTCGGTGGGCTTGAAATGAATATCGGTTTCGAGGTGGTTGCCCGATATGGAGACTTATAATCACTTTAAATTTCTCATATTCCAATTAAGTTTAAAAATCTTAATTTTGATTTGACTGAACTCAAGTATAAAAGTACACAAGTACAATGAAAAGCGTATAATGTTGCCACATAAGGCACCATCTCAGGCACAAGTACCTAGGACAGAATCTTAAGAACAATATAGAAAGAAAGAACAAAATTAAATACTGCAGCAATTATAGTATGGTATAGTAATTGTAGGTTTGGTTGATTCTCAAGGGATTATATCAGTATGTAAAACAAGTTCAGTGGTTAGCACTGCTGCCTCACAGCACCAGGGACCTGGGTTCAATTCCACCTTATGTGGAGTTTACACATTTTCCCTTTGTCTGCATTGGTTTCCTCTGGGTACTCTGGTTTCCTGCCACAGGTTAGATGAATTGTCCATGTTAAATTGCTCATTGTGTCCAGGACTGTACTGGCCATGGGAAATGTAGGGGGATGGGTGAGGGTGAGTGCTCTTCAGAGGGTCAGTATGAACTTGATGGGCTAAATGGCCTACTCTCACACTGTAGGGATTCTATGAGCTTGTTTCAGGCTGTGAATCCTATCTTATGGCAAGACTATGTGTAACACTATGTCAGAATTTATTCCTACTGGTAATCTGTCTCCTGTTGTTGCCGCTGAATACAACCCAGTCATCTAATTTTAATGGTTTAAGACAATAATCTACAGGCAACCAAGAGAATTCACAGCCAGAGCTATTAAACTGCATCACATTCAGTTGAGAACAGTGGTGCCCAGCCAGAAAACAGAGAGAAAGGAGGGATCTATTTACAGTGATATTGATGCATCACAAGAGTGGCAAAACTGTAATGTTTACAAGTGTAGAATTAATTATCCCAATGGGTTTCTCCAAGGTCCCAGAGTCACAGATTCGACTCAATTACATTCACTTTATCTGACATTAATAAGTTGTTTATGTCATAGACCAGATCAAACCCCCTCAAAATAAATTAAGAAGATAGCTGAGACCCTAACTTTTACTTATTTTAAAGGTAAGTGTAGGGTGTTGCATTCAGTTGCAATTTGGTTGGTTAAACTACTCAACTTTAAGCAAAACACACTTTAATTTTTACACTACAGTTAAAATACAGAGAAGATAATACTAAAAGAAAAGAATTGGCATAACGGTAACTCTATCAAAATGCTTAACAAAAACATATATATATTAACTACTGCTAATTAACTGTACCAATATAGTAACAACCACTTGGCAAAGGCAAATTCAGTAAAACAGATTGTCTCACATGCAATTCTAGCTGTAGGAGGAGAACCCCAGATTTTAGCTGCACAGAAAAATGAATAAGAACTTCCACATCCATCTTCAAGACCCCGGCAACTGCAGAAAGCTAAGCTTAAAATCCTCTGTGGGAGCTTGATCCCATCCATTCAGTTGCTTCTATTTTTCCAACTTAAAAAAAACGCAAGCACTTAAAGTTGTTTACTTAATTGGCTCTGAGCAGACCACTCGATATGTCTGTCTCAATGTTTCTTCATAAAAAACCCACAACAAAATACACCTCTTAAAGCTATGGTATCGTCACATTAAGCATCACAATAAAGGCTGTGCACCTTGAAAACATCTGGCTATAGTGTCCGTGATCTGTGCTCTAGTGCTAGCCATGCCTCTGGCCAAGCTGTCCCAGAAAAATGTTTGTCTGAAGGAAACATTTTTGAATATTGCTAACTGAATGGAATGAGGAGTCTATAAGTCTAGTTTTGATATGTGGGTCACTGTTACGGCATCTTTTTGGCACTGATCCAAGTGCAAACCTAAAGACGAGATGACAACCTTGTGAAACTACAACACAGGACTATGTGCATGCCGAACAGCATTAGCAACAACTGATAGAGATAAGCTATTCCACAACTAATGGATTGGATCCATAGTCCTGCCATATCCAGTTGTGGTGGACAATTAGATAAAGGTAAAGTCATCATAGTCCCAGAGAACCATAGGACTGCTCTCTCATAGAGAGAGATGACTGGTGATAAGTTTAACCCGTGGGTCGTCATGCCTCGGGTGAAGGGTGAGGTTGAGAAAGCAGGAACTGCATGGTAACCTCAGCTGTTGCAGTGGACAATTAAACAAATCCACAAATATCCGATGATGGGGAGCCCAGCACATCAGTGCAAAAGATGAAGCTGAAGCATTTGCATCAATCTTCAACCACGAGTGTCAGGTAGATAATCCGGTTCCACCAGCTCTGGATATCCCCAAAGCATAGATGCCAATCTTCAGTTATTTCGATTTATTTCATATGATATCAAGAAACAAACTGAGGCACTGAATGCTGCTATGGGCTCTTACATCATTCTAGCTATAGTACTGATTACGTGCGCTCTAAAACTTGCCGTACCCTGAGCTAAGCTGTTCCAGTACAAAATTGGCATCTACTCAAGAATGTGTTAAATTGTTCAGATGTACTTTGTTCATAAAGGCAGGACGAATCCAACCCAGCCAATTAACTGCCCCATCATCCATAAAGTAATTCAGGGATCATGCTGCTACCTGCAAACCCACTCTCTATCCTGACTTGGAAATATATCACTGTTCCTTCAGTGTCGTTGAGTAAAAATCCAAGAGCAGTGATAGTCTACTTACAGCACATGAACTGCAGCAGTTCAAGAAGACAGCTCACCACCATCTTCTCAAGACCAACTAGAGACAGGCAATAATGTGTTGACTCAGCCAACGATGCCCATGGCCCACGAATGAATAAAAAAGGGTGACCAAAAGCTTGTCAATGAGGTAGGATTTGTGGAGCAAGGAAAACATCCTCCTCAAAGAAAACTAACCACTGACAACTAACCAAGTGCTTTCATTGATACAGGACCTTTAAAAAAAACACTCATTTCCCTTGGTTCCTACTTAAACACACTCCACACCCTTGACATACCACTCAATGGTGCACACGTGGTGAAGTCACAGATTTCAGCCTTCTACTGAAAATCAGGATAACCATCAGCCACTTGAGGAGTGACCAGGGTCAATGTGGAACATGAGTAACAGCTCAAATTGTGACTGCGGCCATCCGAGTCTGACAATTGCCCTTATACTGAACTCCTGCCCAGGGGGGAGGTGAGAAGATGATCAGATAAGGCTGGCT